CATCTGAAGATCTCAGTGCTAAAGGTAATAAAAATCTAATGTCTATCTTATAAAATTGTAAAATACCATAGTAAATTATAAAGTACTATAGTATTATTTCTAAAGAAGGAACATAAAGGTGACTTCATCTACGTGCTATGTACATTCTTTTGTCTCTTTTATTCTGAGTATGATATTCAAATATAATTAGAACTTGTTGACATCAATGACTGTCTGTCTCTAAAAACCACTTCCTGTATTTAGGCATGTACATTTGTCATTTTGACCCACATTTCTACGTGGTTTTTTCAGGTAAAAGAACTATGACACCACTCACTTTTACACAATTATCAACATTTCAGACAAGTTTTCCAAGCAACTGGATAAATCCTGGTTGTTTATTACACTTGAAAATCTGATCTCAAATGATTGTGTGTTTTGGTTACATCAGCCTTGCCTGAGGGAAAAGATGTAACAGTGTATTAGTTTTCCTGTGTGAATTTCTCTTAAAGTTTTTGTGAGATACTTGTTAACATTTATTAATGTTTTCAATAGGTACAAATGAAAATAAAGATGTTTGTTTCTTTTCAAAATCCCTAAGTCTTTCTCACAGGAAAATCCTTAGTATTCAGTCCCATTTTTTTCTGCCCTTCTGTCCTGGTTTGAGAAAAATAAAAGATGTTGTCATAAACAAATAGGATCATATTTCTCAAATACACTGATCTACTAAGTTTTGCCACAGAAATTTCTTTTCAACCAAGGAAATTTCTTTTGACTCACTGTTTAGGTACAAGACATGAAGTAAGCAATACTTTTTATAGATGCCAGAGGAAAGTCTTTAGTAAAGCCCTAAAGCTGGTCACAATCTCAAATGTGGAAAGATTGGCTTTTCTCCATTCACACATATTGTATAGTAGTAGTTCCTTCCATAAGAATGTTGATTATGACTTCTTCACAGCCACAATAAAGCACAACCTAAGTAAGCTGAAAGTAATAAAGGACCCTGAAAGCCCACATTTTCTTCAGCTGGAGATAGAGACATGGAATGTTGCTCCCCCGTCAGGAAGTGTTGAATATCAGCAACTTTTCCTGTTCACGGGTATTTGATTTATATCTTGAAAGCACATGAAGATATTTCAGAAAATACATAAAACATAAACATATAAACATAATCTGCTTCTGGTTCTTTCTACCTTGAATTGAATTAATTTCCTATCTGTTAATGTTCTGAACTTGATTTGGAATGAAGTTCTCTCTTCCTCTTCTCTCACACTAATAAGGAATCTGTAGGTTTTCATCAAGTGACAGAAAACTGCATTAAAAATATATACTTCTTTGTTTATTATTCATTACACTTAGCAGTGCTTAGCAGAACATGTCCATTCAGGGATACTCTTTACCTTACAGCTGACATACCAGAGCTGTATGAACAGGCAGTGGCTTCTCATCACCAGTGTCACACAGAGAAGACAATCACTACCCAAAGAGAGGACCAACAGCAGATGTTGAGGTAGGAAAGACCAGAGAACTGATGCAAACCTAAATAACACAAAGAATGGAACCAAGCACACAGGCAAGGCAATGTACTTTACTGACTTTAATTAAGGACTGTAACCAAGATCTCTAGATACATATAGCAATGTTTTACTAGCTTTTTCTATGATTATGTTGCCCCTCTATGCCTCTTTATCTCAGAGATACTTTAGAACTGGTTGGAAAATCATTTTGAGGGTTTCTTTTGTTGAATAATGTAATAAAAATGCAGATAGGAGCAAACAATTTTACTGCAAACTATACAAGTCCAAGTCAGGAGTCATCTGAGATGTTAATATAACATACTCTCACAAAGAGGAATTTCCTTCCAGGGTTATCTTGTAAATATTTTTGTGCTTATAAAAATTATGCTAGTTTTCACATTTTCACTACATTTTTTCTTCTCTGGTCATTCAGCCCAGAAGGAGTAACATCAGTTTCCAAGTGGCAGAGCAGACAAGAAGAGCACAGGTATTCGTATTAGTAGGACAAAAAGTTATTTGTCCTAGTTATTCAGTGGGTCTTGGGTAATGGTCCAATGGTTTGCTAGCAAATAATGGGGTGTTCTCTGCAACAGAAATGCTGAATACATGTTTTGAGTCTCTCATTTTTTTCAAAACCTAGCAGTGTCACTGTTAACTTATGCTATTCAAAACAAGTCTGAAGTAAGAAGCCCTGTGTTCTGTTTTCAGGTTCTGCCACCAGCATGAAAAATAATTTATATTAATATCTTCAAATGCTGATGCTTTAGGTTGAGATTTGTGTATTCCACAAATACCAGCTCATTTTTCAAATAGAATCCCAGACCCATATCTATCACATGGCAGTGCTCCAAACCTTCTCAAGGCAAGACTGTCCCAGCTCTCTCAGCCTCTCCTCACATGAAAGATCCTCCAAGACCTTAATCATCTTTGTGGCCTTTCTATGTATCAGGAAGCTCAGAAATGGACACAGTACTCCACATGTGGTTTCACTGGTGTTGAGTAGAAGGGAAAGGTTCACCTCCCTGGACCTGCTGACAACACTCATCCTCATGCAGCCCAAGATTCTGCTGGTCGTCTTTGCCACAAGGGCACACTATTGGTTCATGTTCAGTTTGGCGTCCACCAGGTCTCCTAGGTTTTTCTCTGCAGGGCTGCTTTCCAGCAGTGGCTGGGGTGGCTTAAGTCCCCCATGACAACCAGGTATTATGACCAGCTGGTCTATAGCAGACACCCACAACATAACCCATGTTGTTCTGCCCCACTAACCCTAGCCTATAAGCTCTCAGCTGACTTATCACCCATCCCTAGGCAGTGCTGCATGCTTTCCAGATGCTTTTTTACATACAGGACAAATTCCCTCCTTGCCTTCCTGGCCCATGCTTCCTACAGAGCCTGTATCCGTCCATCACAGCACTCCAGTCCTGTTAGCTACCTGACCACTTCTCTGTGATCCAAATGAGGTCATAGCCCTATAAGTGCACACAGACTTCCAGTTCCACCTATTTATTACCTGTGCTGCATGCCCAGATTGTGTCTGATTGCCCAGAATGGGTCTCAAAGCTTTCCCGATAATGCTATCCCATAGGCATTTCCTTATTTACATGCATATGCTTGGTGTGACCCCACTTCAGCCCTGCCTTGTTGATTGTGATGTCCCTTCTGTTCACATCACCCCAGGCTCTTTGCTTGCCTACCTTGTCCATTGCTTCCTCACTTGATTGTTGAGGGTTCTTTCCCTCCCTACTTCATTGTGGAGTGCACTATAAAGTGCAGGATACACTCGTGGTTTACACCTTGGAATGCAGCTGCATTTCTGAGGATGTTTTATGAGATAAACCATGTGGATAGTAGGTAAACTCATTACCTTTAAGAAGAATCTTAAGATTAGGATTATCTTAAAAATCAATACCTTACTAAAACAAAGCCCATTTTGCCACAATTGAAGGAGCTCTTCCTAGCAGCCAACCCACAGTCCATATGCATTTTGATCAGCTCCTCCATAAAACAGTATCTGAGGACATTTTCTCCAGACCTGCCAGACTGGCCCATTCTTGATCTATCACTGAGAAAATTGCCAATTACAAGAACATTGCTCGATGTAATTAACCAGAAAAAAAATGCCATTTGCCTTTATCAATCCCATTCTTCAGTGTTTTAAACATAATACTGAAAAACTTGGTGAACTCAATTATAATGCTTTTTTCTTTCTTTTCCGTACCAACAATGTTAAAACTTGCTTAGGAAAGAACTTGATGAAGGAAAGAAGTCCTTAATGGCAATAAGAAACAAAACATTTCCTCCATATTTTGAATCTGAATTCGGCGAGGACTTTTTCCTGAAAAAGGTAATGTAGCTGAAAACTTGATGAGTTAGTGTTAGGCCAGGTAGTTTCTGACATACTCGCACAACAACAGTTGTGGGTTTGTATCCAGCCTCAGTTTGTCTCAAGAAATTGTCACAGAAGACAGTCATGGCAGAATTAATACTGGGAATTAGATGCCTTTATAAAAGGAAATATATCTTGGAGATAGTAGATGTTTATTGAGTACAAACTCTGTAGATTTCTTACATAAACTCTGGAGACAGTCTGATTCAGAGCAGAAGCTGAACCTCGAGTCTTTTCATTTGCCCCTCAGAAGCCTCTCTCTGCTAACTAGAAAGGGAAAATTAGTAAGACTTACCCTCCTGGGTTGAAGGTGGCCTTAGGAAATTTCCTGTTGTATTCTCAGCTGATAACTGATAAATACTGTTAGTGCATAAAGCATACTCAGAAATATACTTTGGAATCTGAGGTATACGTATGTATATCTTTTTCATAGTTTCCACTTTGGTTCTGATTATTTGTTTTCTTTGTACCCTTTTTTCCTTTTTCTCCGTTTTCTCTTTTTTCTTTTTTTCCTTTTTCCTTTTTTCCTTTCTTTTTCATTTCTTTCCTTTTTTTCTTCTTTTCCCTTCTTTTTTTTCCTTTCTTTTCCCTTTGTCTTTTTCCTTTTTTTTCCCTTTTTTTCCCCCTTTTTTTCCCTGCGGTGCAGAGTGGGGTGTCTGCTGAGTTTTTTTCTAAGTGTTTGGTTGGTAGATCTAAGCCCTCTTTCTTTCTTTTCTCTAGTTTCCTGATGTGGAAGCACTGTCTAATGAACTTCCTTCAATGAAAAAAAAAGAAAGTGTGAATTTCCCTCCAAAGATCAGCAAAAAACCTAGTAGAGGTAATCTGCTTCTAACATTTTATTATCTTCTTCATTGTTTTATCCAGTTGTCTCATTTCATATTGCAGTCGAATTTAAGATTACATCATCTGACCCCATGTATTCCCAGTCATTTTGACACATGAACTATATGCTTGGACCACCATAGCTATATCTATTCTGATATATGAAACATACCCAGCAGCACTCCTTGACATTGAGATCCATCAGTATGGAGGAGGCTGTGTAAATTCAGTCCCCCAAGACAAGATAGCGTTTTCCCTGGCCAAAAGTTGTGTACCCAAGCATGTTTTTGGGAAGACTGCTAAGTTATACAGTCAATATCATACTAGTGTTCCAATAAATTAACAGTATAGATTAGCATGTTCTAGTATCTGGGAATGTTCCTGTTTAATCCACTGATATAAATGTCTCTATAAGACTTCTATATTTAGTATGTTAAAAGAGGCTTTGCAGACATCACTGAATGTGGAAGCCACATAGGCTTTGCAAAGTTGCAAAGCAGAAGAGTTGTGCTATGAATAAGGGGTGGATGGATGCAAAATGCTCAGGAAAAGCTTAAATTGAATAAACAATAGTTAGAGGTGGATGGGCAAGAACCGAGGAAGCCAAGTTTAGAAAAAGAGTAGTATGCCTGTATGAAAAAAACGGGAGTTGGAATTCTGAAACTCAACAGTAAGAGGAGCAGCTTGGGGACTTGGGCAAAAGCAATGTGGAATAGGAAACATGCAGGCTAAGGATAGTTTGGAGGATATAGGAGGAAATCAGTGACTGGATGACAGGAAGCAGTGAAAAAGGGAACCATTATCTTAGGTTTAAGCTTTACAACATTGAGAGGAATAGTTCAGTTCTGTTTGAAACGCAGCCCTGACAAATTACTGAAATCACATAGTGAGACTGAAAGTCATACACAGCAGAGAATCATATAAGGAAAGCAGTCCTCCATGGGGTTTTATCAAACACCCACTAATTCCCATACTTCCTCATTTTGCAATCACCAGAAGACCTGTGCTGGATTGTCCATTAGCTCTTTATGGCATATTGCTCAGTTTGCCAGAGAACAAGAACTGACTCATCACAAGACAGGAATTTTTGATCCCTGTTGCCCAATGGAGCAAAATGTCTCATGCAGAATTTACCGAGCCTCTCATGGTTATGTAGACAGCTTTCAAAGGTTGTCTAAATTAAAGTGCCAAAGACTTTGTGATTTATTTTCATATGTTTGTGAAAATGATGATGATAATGAAAAACACTTGCTGTAATATTTCATTATTTTTCCTTTAGCATCTGAACGTCTCAATACCATGTGTGATTCTTCACCTTGCCTTCTGCTGCAGGCTCATTCCAAACAAAATGAAGGTTCCAGCAGCACAACAGGTAAAGCTACCTTCCAGAATGTAGTTTGGAGCAGGTTAATATCTGTCTTCTTCTAACTTTTGACAAAATATTTACAATAGAATTTTAAACCCACCTATCTCTGTTCAGCATTCTGAATACTTCTGAATGCAAGACTGGCAGAAAGGG